AGAAAGGTAAATGCATTTGATTTGTGAACTGGGAGATGGTACCTTGTAGGAGTCCACAGTGATCGAGTGCTGGTTAAGAACGGGACTCCTCAGATGAAGTCTCTGGTGCAACTTTGTAAGATGTGAGAGCTGAGGCATAGTTATACACATGCCTGTAACTATGAAGGGGTATTATTCAAGGCCTAGGAAGGGACCGTGCAGATATTAGTCAGTCAGTGTACTGATTTCCAGCTCTTTCTTTTCCCATGCTCATACATGTTTTAGCTAGTACAACGAACCTGAAAAAGAAATGAATTGACTTTTGGTTGTTTGTATCTCTGAAGTATATGGTGGATGAAAAAATACAGCTATGCTTAGTGGTGCTTATTAAAAGATGGCTTGGGACAGAATCTCCCAGGTGAGGAGCTGCATTGGCATTACACTGTAACTCATTATAATCACAGAGGCAGGGTAAGAAAACACACCATCTCAAGCACTGGAACTGTCACTTAGAAGTATTTCTTAAGGGAGATGGGAATTTGTAGCAGAGCCATGAGTAATTCAATGATACCAATGATCAATGCAGATGGTATTACTTCTTCTGGAAAATATAAAATGAGTTTGTTTTCAATAAAAAATAAATAAATCAGTATTTCTCAACTGCTTCAAATAATGCAAAAGGCTACACACAGTTTTCCACCTATGCCCAAAAAATACAACTACAGTTATTAGTATTAAAGGTAACGTTACTTAATTCTTGCAGTTTGTATGTCACTGTTTGGGTACAAAATTTGTATGTACCAAGTTGAGTAAAAGGTAAACAAATACATTATGAAAATAATTGAGCAGTTTCAATTGTAAAAAAAATGAACCCCTTACATTCTTGGAAATAGTTTGTTAAAGTGGTGATGTATTGTAAAACTAAACATAGCTGTTGGAGTTTTGTTAATTCAATGACCATTCAGCTGGGTTTTTGAGACATGCAAGCTTAAGAAGAAGGGTGATCCCTCTTTTGCTTCCCACAGCTGTTCTGAATTACTGAAGCGGTAAGTGCTGAGTCATGTGTGAAAGCTTTAAAACAAAGGTAAGGGGTACAGATTGATGTTGAAGGAAAAGAAACTGTTGTGAACTGAAAAGAAGGCTATTTCTAGGTGGAATGATGGATGGACAAGCAACTACTTGTGATACGTAAGAGGGTTTTTTGTCGTGGTTTTTTTTTTGTGAGGGAACCTTGAAGCTTCATAACAAACTGTTTCTTCACAAAAATTAGACATTAGGTGGATTTTAGTCCTTTTTGTGATGGGTAAGTTGAATTACGTTGCTTCCTTATGTAGGTGTACAGGTACAGAAGCTGCATCTTTTCCAACCTCTATCTAAAAATAGTGCCAAGTAGTTATTAACTTCTGCTGAAGGGTGAGATGGAAAGCAAAGCAGGCAAAAAAATTTGCTCACTGTAGTTTCACAATTTCAGTGTTGTTTTTTTTTGTGTGTGTTTTGGTGGTGTTTTTTGGGGTTTTTTTTTTTCTGTTTACTAAGCCCCAAAGCTATGTGCGTTGTAGTGATGCGGAGTATTGGAACCTGCCTATGAAGGGAGATCTGGAGCCAGTGATAGTCTGACACTTTGGGGTGTGACAGAGAGAAGTGTGTGTGTGAGAGCAGGTATGTTGGTTTGTTTGGGTTTTTTTTAATTATTTCTACACCAGTGTTACGTTTTCATTCCTTCATCTGTTGTGTGGTGGCACATACCTATGCCCTTAAGACATTAGTGGATTAGTATCATTAACTAGCAAATGTCCAGTGGAACTTTTACTTGGAAGTCTTCAAGAGACAGTCTGTTTGCTAATTGTGTTTGTAATAATAATCAGCTGCTATGTAACAGGCTAAAACTATATTTATAAAACTAAAAGGGTAGAAGAGCAGTGTAGTGTGTATTGGATGCTTCTTCTCATGCTTCTCTGGGACAATGCAGAAAAGGAGAATTTGGAGTTCTTAATTTGTTTAAAATTTTCTGCAACTTGTGAAATACTTGTGGCAGAATCCCTTTCCAACTGCCACTGCACAGCTTTTAATGGTAGTATTTGCTTCACAGTGGCAACAGCATCTCCCTAAGTCTGTATCAACAAACTTTGGCAGCTGTATCAATATCAAAGGTGCCTGCTGCAGTGGTACTGTTTACTTGGCAAGAGGTCCATTTAGAATTTTAGACTTACATAGTTTAGAAGTGGTATCTGAAGTCCAACTTCCTGCTCAAAGCAGGGCAAGGTAGCATGGTTTGCTCAGGACTTTGTCTAGGTAAGCCGAGGACACAGTCTCTCTGTGCAACCTGTTCCAGTCAAACTACCCTCACAGTGGAGAAGAGCTAGTTGGAATTTCTCTTGTTGCAATTTGTGACCATTCGCCTTTGTGCTGCTGCATGATACTGAGATTAGTATGGCTTTGTCTTCTCTATACCTTCTTATTAGGCAGCCAGAGACTGTAGCAGTGCCTCCCCACCCCATGCCCAGCACTAACTTCCATTCTCCCATCATTCACTCTGGGAGGCTGATGTCAGTGCTCATGGTTTCTCAGACCTCTTGTGCCTCACTTCCCTGTCCCTCTCTGTGGCCCCTCACGGTACTTGCTCTATGTCAGTCTGTTTTGTACTGGGGAACTCAACATTGGCCTTGAGCACAGAACAGAGGTGAAGAATCCCTTCCCTTGGAACTCCTGTGTACTTGTTCATACAGCTCAGAATGCAGTTTGCCTTCTTTGTCACAAGGGCATATTGCCAAGTCCTGTTCAATTTGCTGTGGAACAGCACTCCCAGGTCCTTCCCTGTAAAACTGCTTCATCTAAGTTGGCTCCAACCTGCTTGTGTAGGGTGTGACTCAGGTGCAGGTTGGTGCATTTGTTTTGGTTAAACCTCATGAGATTTCTGTCAGTCCACTTGTCTGGTTTGTTGAGGACCTTCAGAATAGCATTCCCTGTTCTCTTGCATGCTGACTGCTTCCCCTTCCCCTCCAAATTAGTGTTGGAAACTTGCTGAGAGTGGACTTTGCATCATAAAGGTCACTAATGTAGTTAACCAATTCTAGCCCCTGAAGAACACTTCCATTAACTGGTTACCAGTTAGATTTTGTATCGCTGATGATCACTCTTTTAGCGTGGCAGGCCAGCCCATTTTCCACTCATCTTGCAGTCCAAATATTTGCTCCATATTTTACTGATTTGGGTACAAGGACCTTTCTGGCATGTTCCTGTCTAAACTCCTGCTGTGAAGTAATCTTTCAGAGCTAATGCAGTGTTTTATAGGTGGCCCATCATCACATGGCTTCTTTAGAGTACACTGAGTTACTGCACGCATCATACACAGTACATTAAGAATGATGAGACCTGGATTTCAAGACAAGCTATTGAATGCTTTCTGTTTCGTGTAAGTTTTCTTCACTTATGAGTGAGACAACAAAAGCTCTGAGATCATCATTTGTGCCCCAGTCAGTGTGGTTTGAATCAAGAGCTGTGAATTTGGCTTCCAATTGATGAAATCCTTGACTGCAAACACAATTTCAGACTAAGTTTGTGTGAATAAAAGGGGAACACTGAGTACTCTAGCCTTATAGTCAAGAGAGACACTGCTCCACTATGAACTTCATGCAGTTCCTACCACATCACTCAAAAACTGGTTCTTGCATGTGAAAACTCCCCTTCCATTGGTCTAATCTGCATACATTTGGGAACCTTGGCCTTCATTCAGTATTTAGTATGAAATTAGGTCTCCTTGGATAGTAGGGGGAAAAAAAAAAATCATACTAACAATAGTAATGCTAGGCGGTTTTATCTTTTCAAGGACATGAGCTGATCTTCATGAAAACTCATGTTTTCAAGTTGTGTTTAAAAAAAAAAAAAAGACATTAAGGGGAGATTTTATTGCAAGGGAAGAGGGGAACCAACCTAAAGCATTTCTAAAGCATGTGGTGTCACAGATACAGCTTTTAAGTACATGTCAAATACCACAAAAGTATTTGGATAGGTATTTGCTACTCAGTTGCTACTCGTGTACATCAGGTCTCCTACGATGATCAAAGCGAAAGACTTTTTTCTACTCCTATGCTTTTCTTCAGACTTTTGAATTTATTTTTTTTTTCCACAGAGATGTGGCATCCTCACTGTTATTTGCCCCTGCTTTCCAAATCTCCTTTAAGTGAGTGATTATAACAACTGCAACTTTTGGAAGAAGTGAATGGCTGCTAGACATAATTTAATGTAAGACAGTGACTCTTGCTGTAGAGATTGAATGTCATCTTCCCATTCATTTCTACCTACCTGTGAACCAAGTTACGTTCTCACACAAACTATAGGAAATATGGACTATAAAATACTGATCAAGCCATTCCAAGTTACCCTCAGCAAGTAAGATGAATACTGTCTGAGGTTCTCTAAGGTTAATTGTGATGTCAAGCTCTATCAGATAGATGAAAGTTGGCTTATTCTTGCTGAGGAGAGTTCATATTGACATGCTCCCGAACTTAAATTATTATTGTCAGCATGTGAGCCTAGTTAAAGGACTCATTTGATTCTTCTGTTTCAAAGGCTAAGTATTTAAAGCTATCATAAGAAAAAAAAAAATTTGAAAAGAATGATACTGGAGAAAGAAAGGTTTTTCTATTTTCTCATTTGAGTTAAGCAGCCATGCACTGTAACCAGTATCTGCTGTTACATGTACAAAAGCCTACAGTTCTAAAATAGTAGCTTCACCTTCTGTTTCAACAACCAGTATCTGCTGTTACATGTACAAAAGCCTACAGTTCTAAAATAGTAGCTTCACCTTCAACAACAAAAAAATAGGTCAGCAGTCAGGTCAAGCACTACTTCATTTCAGACTTGATGGTGTATCTGTATGGCTTAAACATTACAAGCTATGCTTCAAAGCCCAAACAGGTATGCTTAAACATGAATACAGACAAAATTTCGTGGTGAATACTGCTAGCATGCTGTATTGCATTATGTCCAAAACAACCCATTACCAAATGCCCAAATAAAAGTAAATGATTGTGCATTGCATGATGATACCATTAGGTGTGCAACTTTGGTTCATGCAAAGTCTCATTTTATGGACACACGCTGACTGATAGTCCATATATTCCTGAAGAATCTGCATATGTGAGCTTTTCACCCATGTTCTTTCCATAACACCAAATGGATACTATGGTCCGGCATACTGGTGGCAAAAACCAAGCCCATATCATTTTGGCCGTTTAGTCCGTTTAACCAAGACATTTCACCAGCCAAAAAGCTCGAACCTCTCTTTGACTTTCTATACTCTGGTAGAGGCCAGCGGCTTATCAGTTTTTCTGTCCTCAAGTCCATTATATACAGGTATCTGTTATCAAACAGCAGAGCAAATATCTCTCCAAAGCCCAGCAAGGACACATTTGAAAAGTCAGGAGGTTTGATAACCCTAGAAGACAAGACAACAGTGTTAGAAACTCTTGTCATGATGCAGTCACAAACCTGCATTACTAAGCCAAATTGTTATGTGTCTATAGAAAGTAAGTGTCTAAACTCATTGTTCTGAAAGGATTTAGAACTGGATGCAAATTTTTCAAATTAAGCAACTGAACACTTAGCTGCACTCAGGCCTGTGGTTTCAGTTCTAGCTTTGTGCATTCAGGACAGACCCTTCTGAATATAAGTAAAGGTTAGGGTTTGAAAGGAATTCTGCACAGCACAAGGAAAAAAAAAAAAGTCTTGTTTCCAGATACACACAAAAAAGCAAATGCAGTTGTGTTTTACAGTAAATTTCCATAGGAATTCCATGCTTCAATATCTTTAAGAGGTAAAACCTCTTATTATTCTTTTGAACGCTCTTTTAGAAGCTGGAAATAAACCAGAAATGCTTTCTTGTGATAAGAAGATAAGATAAATCATTCAAGGCTGGTCCTTAACTGAATGCTGTTTTACTGATGCTTAGCATAAGTTAAGCATTTTCACCTTGGGGAGAAATAAAAGTATTTGTTAGGTTCCCTACACCTTTAGGCTATTTTTGCCTTAATAAGGAAAACTTGGAACAGAAATTGAAGAGAGTAGGTTTTCCATAACTAACTGAGCATTTGGTTATAGCATTAAATAAAGGACAGAACTGAGGCACAAAAATGTATGGAGATGAAAAATCTGTTCTCAGCAGTAAAAGAACATTTTGCTCTTTTGAAAGATGGGAGGGTAAACTAAGAGGTGAAATTACTCAGTTATTCTTACTGATAAGAAGCACTTCTTTTGGAGTAGATCTTCCTATAGTAGATACTCTACAACTACTTGGGACATTTCAATTAAGAGTCTGCTAACGGTTCCAAAATGCAGTTTTCATCTTTAATAAGTTAAATCATTGATGCCACTTTCTAACAGATACACCCTGTTCTTTTTATGGAAACAGAATGCTATCTTGTATGATCCTTTACTGCAGTCTGATAGATTTCACTATCATTCCACAGCATTGCCGAGAATGACAGATCAGTAGTGCTATAAGGAAAAAAGTCTTTTTCATTTCTTATCCCATCAAAGAACCCCCAGAAATGGCTGCCAGGTTCTCTGTAGAACAGTCTCCATGGCAACATTAACTTCTAGTCACTACAGTTTCATATTTGTAAGTACAGCACTGCAGTCTGATTTAATTCTACATTGAAACCCCTCAGCTTATGGAATGAAAATATGAAAGAGGACTAGCCTGTGGCCAGAAATCAAAACAGCAATGAAATGATTCCTATTAACAGATGATAAATTAGAAGTAAACCTGGCAATATGTGTAAAGTAAGATGTTTACAGAATTTTTATCAAGATTCTTTTGGCCTACATCTAAAGTAAGTTACTAAAACTAGTATGTTCTACTTCTTATTTATTTAAATAAGACCAAGTCTTAAACTGAAAGATTTACCTGAGAATATCATAGCTGGCAAAGTCCCACTGGTATAATCCTAGTGCTGAACTGCACACTATGTATTTACCATCAAAGTGCAGCCTGGGCTGTAGGGAGATGCTGCGATCTTCAGAAACAGACAATGTTTTTAAGCACTTGCAGTTTATTTCCCTTCCAATGGGCCAGATCTACAATTAAAAGGCAGTTTAGGACCATAAAACATTCACATTATAAACCATTACACAACTAGAGCAAGCCTCAGAGTCTCTCTTTAAGCATCGGGTAAATGAGTGCGTGTTTTTTTCAATAAATATTTATCTCCTTTAGGTAGGAACATCAATTCTGTAAGCGACTTGTCTTACAGTATTGTTGCAGTACGTGTTGCTTCTAACCTAAAAAATCCCAGTGAAAATGGGTGCTTTAAAGAACGGCCAAAAAAATCAACCATCCAATTGGGAACAAATGTAATAGTGTTTCAGTTATGAAGCACTTCCACAGCCAGAAACTATGTACAGCACTCTCCAACCCCAAAGTCCCCAACAGAAAGTACTCACGGTGAAGTGCTTCACTGTCAAGTTAGCACACTATGCATGCACTGAAAGCACTTATTTTTTGCAATACCATTCCTGTAGAGCTATCATTTAAATCTAAACAAAAGTTGCATGTGTTGTATGCAACTTTACAAGCAGGGAATATGGGAGAAAATAAAGTCTTATTTGTAAACTTCAGCAAAGCACTCAAGCATTTCATTTCCCTGGGTACTGAAATGATGTATGTATGATATATGGTACATACCTTGATTTCATACTTATCTGCACTTAGAAGAATATAATCCCCAGGACTATGCATAAGAGATTTGACTTTGCACTTCTGCAAAACCACCTGTAATTGAAGGATGTAATGATTTATGTTGATGCTATTAAATAACCAAACTTTCACTGGCATTTTTCACTTAATTTTTTACTTCATTAACGACCTGTCTACTGTCCTCTTGTATAAAGGCAATACAAATACTTTTAGCAGCTGAAGGGTGTTGTGTAAAAGGGTAATGAGTTTGATACATGTCCGAGAGAGGCCCTCCTGTTGAAGTGGTCAATGGTTTATGTCTAAAAAACAAAAAAAGGGGAGGGGGAGGGGGGGAAAAAAGAAAGCCCGGTGTGACTAGATCCATCCTTAGTCCCAGACTTGGAGAGAAGAGAGGTCCAGGCCTGTTGACCTGTCTGGATAATTGAAATTCTCTTTCTCAAAAATAGAGGATTTTAAAGACTAATTTTATACTTACTGACAAGATGGGACCAAGTCACATCTCCTGTGCCGACTGCCTCCTAGCAGGCTAACAGTGCTATTAAATGGGGATTGGGGGGTGGGGAAGGAAAGCCAACACTCACTACAGATGTAGACTCCTTCTTTAGTTTTGTTGGTACAACCTCTGGCAATTAGGCCCTGTCTCCTGCTTTGTTGATACAACCTCTGGCTATAAGACCTTTGCCCCATCCCAGCAGTCCCAGTAACTGGGCTGGGTCTTAAAACATCCAAATGGCTGGGTCATAAAACTTCCAACATCTGTGCTATGTCTTGGCCAGGTAAGCAAAACGCTCATCCTTCCTCCCCTGCTTATGGTCAGGTAAATGACAAGCACACTAATTAGCCTGCATCCCTGTCCAAGGCTGGTACAAGATAAGCACATTAAGTGGCCTGCATTCCTGTTACATGGCAAGCTGGGCAGTTTTCCCACAAAGGGAAAGTACAATTTACACTTTTCTTGTTCCTACTAGTGACAACTTATTAATAAGCGTACTAGAGGTACTTCACCTCTAGAATCACTCCCCAACCCTCCAAGTTCTGAAATACTTGGAAGAAAAATACTGTTTCTTGACTTTTCATGCTCAGATTTTGGTTGTGAAGATCATTAGTTTTTCTACATAATTTCTACAAAAAACATTGGTTTTATTCAGTCTTTGAATCAAACACTGATTCCTAATATTATTGCAGCTTCTTTGGAACAGAAGTATCTTCAATGGTCTGAAAGGTTTAATTATAGCTTCTTTAAGTATTTTTTCTGCTGAAATGTTATTTTGCAGTATTTTCTGATGTTCTTCAGATTCTACACCTAGGTGCAGGGCTAGGATTAGGAAAGAGAAATTTAGAACATGTTACAAACTTATTGCAAGTAAGTATTTTGCAAGATTAATAAATCAATATTCCCACCTTAGTGACCCATTCTGTGTGTCCAGTAAGGGTATTCAGGCACGTTCCTGTTGATAAGGCCCATACTTTCACAGTGAAGTCTGCAGAGCCACTGACCAGAATATCAAGTTCATCGTTGTAATCCACGCTAAAAACTGCAAGCAAAGAGGGTACTAAGTAAGGAATACCAGTCTCTATGCATGTGAGACACTTAACTAGTAGCCTCTATATGGGTTTAGTAGTCTCTAAATTCATATGATACGGCAGCTTTAACTGTTGTTATTCAACTGTATATGTGAGTTGTTGCTCTGGATTCCTAAGGTTACATTGCAAAATTACTGATTTTTGTCCAAATTAAGAGCACGTACATCAGTGGTTCCTTTATGGTTGGATTATAGCAAAGTGTGACTTAAGCTAGTTCCTATTTTAAGAGTTCTAGGAAGTCAATTCGAGCAGGATTAGTACATCTGATATATCTCATTACTCACAGGGGAACAGACCTACAGCTGAGTTAAGTATATTTTGCAATAGAGGACAGAGAAGTTAATTATGAGGGAAACGCAGATACAGATTTGCAGGTCCTATTGTGCTCTTTGCTGTAAGCCCATCTCCAGTGTGGGGATATAAAGAACTGCTGTTGCCATGTGCTCCCTGCTATCTAGGGTTTGCATCTTTTTGGTAGACTCAAAAGTACTGAATAACCATGGCATTAAGTATTATGTCCATGCATCTGCAAAACAGCACATGACTAAGCTTTGGTATTATTCAAAGGCAGACAGATCTAGATCTGTCCTGGCTGCTTCCCCTGCCACCCCAAAAGGTGACCTAGGAGAGAGCCTAAAAAAAAAAGCTATCATGGAAAGAGCTAACTTAAATTATAATTTGTTTGATGAGGATGTGTGTTACTTGACTGGTAAAATTACAAACTGAAAAGTTCAACATACCTGCGCCAGTATGTCCTCTAAAATGCTGTGTCTTTGCTCCAGAGCTCCATTCCCAACAGGCTACTGTGTTATCAAAAGATCCCGTTACAAGCTTTTGTTCATCAAACTTCACTGCAGCACAAGTGTGTGTCTGGATACCATATATGCACTGACCTGTGCTTACATCCCACAGTTTTGCAGACAAGTCATCTGATCCTAGAATATAAAAGAACAAGGTAATCGCAAGCAAAGAGTAAATATATTTTGAATCTTATACACATCTTCCACGTTTGTCTTAAATACATTATTTTCATGGAATAACAGAATGGTTATGGTTGGATGGGACCTCTGGAGGTCAACTCTTCCAACCCCCCTACTCAAGCAGGTCCATCTAGAGTCAGTTGCCCAGGACCGTGACCAGACGGCTTTTGAATATGTCAAAAGATGGACACTCCACAATCTCCCTGGGCAACCTACGCTCAATCACTCTCACAGTAAAAAAAGTGTTTTAGAGGGAACCTCCTGTGTTTCAGTTTGTGTCCACTACCCTTGTCCCATCACTGGGCACCACTGAAAAGACCCTGGCTCCATCTTCTTTGCACCCTCAATTCAGGTATTTACATACATTGATAAGATCCTCCCTGAGCCCTCTCTTCTCAGACTCTCTTCAGCATTTCTTCGTATGAGAGATGCTCCAGTCCCTTCATCATCTTCATGGCTCTTCATTGAACTCTCCAATGTATCCATGTCTCTCTTGTACCGAGGAGCCCAGAACGGGACACAGTACTCCAGGTGTGGCCTCACCAGTGCTGAGTGGAGGGGAACAAGCACCTCTCTCAACCTACTGGCAACATTCCTCCTAAAGCAACCCAGGATACCGTTAGCCGCCTTTGCAGCAAGGGCATGTTGGTGGCCCATGTTCAATTTGCTGTCCACCAGGACCCTCGTGTCCTTTTCTGTCAAGCTGCTTTCCAGGTGGGTGGCCCCCAGCATATACTGGTGCCATGGAGTTGTTCCTCCTCAGGTGCAGGGCTTTGCATTTCCCTTTGCTGAACTTCTCATTAGAGAGTACTTTCAAGCTGCTTGAATGGGGAATAAGCCCTAGTTTTACGTCTCAGAGCACTACAGCAAAGCCTCTTGTTTTCATGTTAATTAAGATACTAGGTGTCTGGCCTTCCAGTTTCCTCATACCCTTTTAGCACGTTCCATGGATTCCAGCACTGCCTCTGATTGACAGTGTCTACTGAAACAGACCCATGGAAGTTTTACATGTTACATCACTCTCAGGTTTGCAGAGCCACAGACTATACGGCAAGCTTTAGTGTTTAAGGTAGGAAAGGAGTCCACCGAATATTGAAAGACAGCAGATGAATACCAGGCCCCATCACCTGACAGTTTCCTTCTCTCCTCAAAGATTGTGGTGGGTTTTGTTTTGTTTTTTTTTAAACTCATAGCATTAAGTCAAGACTGCTGGCTTTAGACAGCAGAATAAAACCCCAGACCCTTACACCTGTGGTTTGTCCTGGTGGTTTCAGCACAAAAGTGTGCCGCTTTTCAGAAAGTTTTGACAATGCTGCTTCCTGTATATTTAGATTTCCTGCTGCGTAGAGAACTGAAAGACTGGCTAGAGTCTAGTTGTTGGTTTCTAGTAATCATCTTAATGTACGAACAAATGCGAGAGTACTTAGCCAGTCTTCCCCACTTATTCTATAGCATTGTCACATCAGTGATTGGGAAATCCTTGGAATATGCTCTGACAGCAGTTCACTGTAACTTTGTCACTATTCTTTCATACTTGAGGTTTTGTATTTGTTCTGGCTGTCTTTTTAAGTTCAAACTGAAATCTTGAAGTCTGCAGTCTTCAGCGAACAAGCTGAAATTATCATTGTAATATGCAAGTCAGAGTAGTAGCAAGGTTAAATTTAGTTTACAGGGCTTCATACAAGCACTTATGTTAAGAACTGAGAGTGGTTACAGACTGTATCAGAGAAATTGTGTTGTTTCCAGGAAGAAGACAGATTTTTCCTGCCACACCTTGGGAGACTGCAGTGCTCACATAGCCCAAACAAGGTCCCTTTAACTGGAAGTTATCCCTAAGAGGATAACTAACATATCTGTTCTTCTCAAATGGGCTTATCAATCTGAAGCATGATACCTGCTGTTACTGGTTTTTAACCAACAAAGAAACTGGTGTCCTTGTTTTCCTATTAAAGTGACTAATGAGTTTATTAGCATGCCAGGTGTTTCAGAAATTGAAAAAAAAAAAAGTCATTTTGAATCATCTTAAACTGCGTTAGTGCTATGAAAATAATCTGTCTGGTAAAGGAAAAGCAAATTGTCATTAATTATGAGGGGGGTGGGGGGAACAAAGAACTGTAAGACTCCAAGTTTTCTGTCCTTCCTACCTGTACACAGAAGTCCATCTTTATAGTAAAGTGCATACACTCTGGCACTGTGTCCAATTAAAGAGGATGTCTCAAAGGCTTCGTGGTCCTTCAGTTGCTTCATCCTTAAAATAGCCTTTAGGTAAACCTTCTTCCAATGCAGAGGATCCTGAACAGAGTCATCTATTTGCCAACCCAGATTCTTACACGCAGTCTGCCACACCTCTGTACAGGCACTTATAACCTTATTCCACTGCTTAGAGACGAGGCAACAAGTGAGTAAGGTCTGAGGATCAAGCCATTTTAACAGATAAAAACTAAGTTCCAATGGAAGAAGTTTGAGGAAGTCCCTCTTGAGGAGAATCTCTAGATTATTGGAGAGGTGCCTGAGCTGGACTGCTCCACTCAAGCTAATCAGGTGATCCAGAGTTTCATTTTTCTGCAAGTCCGTCAGAGAAAGAAATGTAATAGAAATGTTATCAAGCCATGCTTCAAAGTCCTTTTTCTCCATAAGGTTATGGAAAAATTTACCTGTGATACATCAAAATACTGTATTAGTTCAATTCAGAAAACAAGGTAAGCATCACATCTTTATTACTGGTACAGCAGTATTCCAAATGGCATGTTAACACATAGACTGACGTGACCAAATGCATTTTAAAATATTCATTAGGGCATCTGCATGCACTTTGAACTATCATTTGTTCCACATCAGACTTAGAAGTGAATTGTATGGAGCTAGTAAATGTTAGCATTCATTATGAATGTTAACATCTTTCTTGTTCTAGGTTAACATGTTCAAATTCTGAATCCAATAAGGTAAGGGTTAGTTTAAATTTTAAAACTATTATAGCAAATAAACACTGTCTTACAGTTTACTCATGGATTATACTGATAAAGGGAAGAAACCAAAGCATATAAACAGAGTAATAAGCTAGTTACTGACAGAACTTATCCGTACCTTTGTCTTGAGCTATTTTAAACACAAAGGAGGTAACTATTTTTTTTAAAGAAGATACAGAGGGATGTCTGAAAAACTGTGTTGAAGGATATGTTAGCCATCTTTCTATTTGGCTCGTGTAAAGACTGTAGACTGTGACTGGTCTAGTATCAGCTTTCACATGTTTGCACTGCTTTGACCTAAACACTTGGTTGTTTTTTTTTTAATTCCTATTTCCCCAGTTCCTGTGGCATCTCAAGTTCCTACAATAAGCTTGGACAAGTGATTTAACATTGGGCCAACAGCTAAAAAGCCATAATTGTTTATTTCCTCTGGAAGATCTAATTCCATTCATTACATAACTAGCTGAATTTACTTCACAGAAGCTCCCAAACCCAAAGAATTGAGGAATCTGAGTGGGAGTCAATAACACGTTTATTTCTATACAGACATTTAACCTTTGTAGAATAAGATCTTGGAGTACACCTCTTCACATGGCATAGTAGTACAGAAAAGTAGTCTTCACTATGAAGGGCTGCACATGACATGCAGTTGATAAAAACACAAGAAGGTACTGGGTGTCAAATGCACAGAAACTGCTGCTCCTATCAAGTCACAAGTTCATGCAGTAACTTTTACTGCTGAGAGCACTTACCAGCTTTCCTCAGCACAGAGGGCACATAATATATTTGCTGATCTAACAGGTATGTGTTCTCTCTAAAACAAACATAAATTTCTAACCGGCTCCCTGTGAATAAAGAACGGGTGAGCTCTAAGGCGTCTGCTGTGCTCCACACACGAAGCTAACACCGAAATCAAGGGCTGCTGCTCGGCCCCGAAAGCGGTGCTCAGCTCCTTCCTAGGGGTTACCCAGCCAGCGCGGCCGCCCCCCC